TTCCATTATCTGGCCCTTGTGGACGTGGCTCATCAGTATAGAATCTGGATTTGTTTATACGCAGGTAGGACACAGGTGACATATTGAAATGTCTCCTCCATACCTTGGTTTATGTACGTAAATGATATATTATATTTCATTACCAACCTGTACCTATGTCATGACAAGATGGGTGTCCCCTGATTGTTAAGTCTTTACTGAATTATGATGTGTATTATTATTCTTTCAAGTCATTATAACTAGGTTTTGGACTCACATTCAAACACAAACGTGACCTGTAAATTAAGTTTTATGAGGATGTTGCCATTGTTTGACCTGGTTGCTGTTCACTGGTAGTTGAAGATTAGTTAGGATGGTTTTATTTTTATCCTTCTTTCAGAAGGCCTATTTCAAAGGGCTACCCACTCCGTGAACCTGTCGCTGTAATGGAACATTTTACCTGTGTGAAATGGAGTCCTTGGTCAATCCTAGTAGAACTGAAAGGGAAATTGGTTGGGGGGAATCAATTTGGTACAAGTACAATACAATGGCATGTTTGTTGTTTATGGCTACCCCACATTTTGGGGCCACAAGAATTGGCATTATCTGAAGTTTGAACAACTTAGGAGCATACAAATCCTTATACTAATTATGGTTGTGGATATCATTGATCTGTATATATAGGTACACTTGTTGGGCCTTGCACGCTCGAAAAGACAGCGGGGATGGCATTAGGGTCGATGGATCATTCTATCAACCCACTCGTCTATCAGCAGATTACTATGACAACCAACAACATCGTTGGTAACCCCACAGAAAACAAATGTAGTATAACTCGGAGAAATAGTTTCAGACGACCTTCTTCATGGGCCCTCGATCCTAAAAGGGTTCTCCTTTTCTTTGCCACCGTGTATGATTCAACTCCCTTGTTTTAATATTTAATAATCAGATCCATTACCTTGGCTTCTACTTTGTCTTTTGCCGTGAATTGCTCAGTTGATGGATGCTTGAAATTGCAGGTCTAGCATGGGAACAATGTTGCTGATATACTTCATTCTCTCCAGCAGTAAGCAAAGTCCAGATGAATATGGTGGTGATTGGAAGCAGTGACTGAAAGTACCTCTAATCAGGGAAACGATGGAAAGAAAGGAGAGAAGACAAAACTTAGGAGTTAAAAAGAAAAAAAGTGTAGAAGTAACAAAAGCTAACCTAATTTAGCCAGCCTGATGTCAGAGTCAGTTAAAATCTGCTTCTCGGCATCATCTCTTTGGAAACTACAAACAGGAGATAAATACGAAAGACATAATTTACTCGTCCGAGTGAAGGAATCTTTCATTTTTTTAATGTAAATGGAAGACAAACGATCACATGGAGGACATGGCTCTTTATAATCTGTATGTTGCGTGATCGCAGGGTTTGGTGGAGTATCATAGAGTCACATTTTACTATTTCTTGCTCCCCTCTATCTTTCTGTTCTGGTTTCCTCTTATTTATATTTATATATATATATATATATTTATGTGAGTTTTCATGTGAGCAGAGGGTTAAAGGGTAGGGGAAAGAGAGCCAATGGCAGGAGATGTGCATATGATGCCATGGTGTTTGGCTGTGGGCAGTAGACACCAACGCATTTAGATGCCTGCTTAGGCTAATGGAATCCACAGCTCCATTCATTAATACTTCAGTTTTTTTTCCACTTATCTCTTATAGGCATGTCAAATCATCTTCCATATCATCATTTTTTTTTCTACCAACAGGAATTTCTAATAAAAGACTAATTGTTCATAGCATGATGGAAAAAGAACTTTATTTAAGAAAAAAAGCTCTCTTTCTTTTTCTTTCGTGGAGTGGAATATATAGTTTTTGGCAAACACAAAACTACTGTTTTCTTAAACTAAGAAAGACAGGAGACAGGAGGCAATAAGTTGTTCTGGTTGATTAAAACCAATACTAACATAAATGTTAACAAAATCCACAATAAAAGGATAGATGACAGAAACAAAAATTCATTTTTTCTTAATTGAAACTAAAATTACAAAGAAAAAAAATAGTTATTTTTTGTCAGTGAATATATAAAACTAATTATTGTAATTTGGAAGTAGAAGATGACCACAAAAGGCACGTTATTTAGTTGGGGTGGGTGGTATCTCCCAAGAAAGAATAGTGAGCACTCTGAGAGATTCAAAGTGCATGTTCATCTAAGTTATGAGAGCGGTCAATGTTCACCTTGTGATATAGATTGATATAACTCCACACGGAGTGGTAGAAAACGGAGAACTATGGTGCTTGACATAAGTGGAGCTTGCACTTATGCTTCTGCTCATCTTTCATTAATCCATATTTATGCTACATTCTACCATTAATCAAACCCATTTTAAATTTACAGAGTGGAAGCACCTCAAAATTAAAGATACTTCTCCACCACCACCATCAAATGCTTCTTGCACCCATGCTCAATTTGCCTGACATTTGTTTTACCTTAAAGAGATCTTGATATCCGTAAACAGATTTTCACATCCGTAAAAGGTTATGTCTTTTAATTTTTTTTATTAATTTAGTTTATTGTTTTATATTTTAGATTTTATTTTAATAATGTGTTTTATTTGTATATATAAAAAATAAAAAATTTTAAATACTCTATAAATTAATTTAAAATATAATAAATTAATAAACTAAAAACTAAAAAACACGTTGGCCACATCCGTCATATCCATTTAACTAATCAAATAAAAAATATTTAAATAGTCAATTAAATAATAATACATAATTAAAGTAAAAGAAAAATCAATTTAATTAAATTAATAATTATTATTTTGTTAAATAAAATAAAATTCATTTATATATAATTACGTAATATATTATAAAAAAAATTAAATACTCTATAATTAATTTAAAATATAATATTTTAATAAACTAAAAACTAAAAAAAAACTTGAACAACATATCCGTTAATGAATATGAGATATCCGTTTAACATAATTAAATAAAAAATAATATAATTTAATTAAATTAATAATAATTATTTAATTAAATAAAATAAAATTAATTTACATATAATTATGTAATAAATTAAAAAAATTAAATAATATCTATATATTAATTTAAAATACAATAAATTAATAAACTAAAAATTATAAAAATACATAAATCATCCGTCCGTTGAAGAAAAGAAGTGAAAGTGTAAAATTTTTTAAAATATAAAAAATAATTTTGAAATTTAAAAAAAAATGTGACAGTGCAGCAAACCATATGGGATAGTATAGGGAATAACCCTCAAATGTCAACTTTGCAAAAATAAGTGGCCCAACAGGATTCTAGGCCATATGATCAGTCCATATGTCTTTAAAATCATGTTATTGGGTCGGCCGTATTAAATGAAACATGTTTCAAAACAAAAATTTTGAAAGATTTTTACCCTCCACCTCTAATAATTTCATCTGCATCTTCAAAAATTTTAAAATTCTAAAACTGCTCTCTATCATTCAAGAAACCCTAACTCCACTTTTTTTGTGTTTAATTGAATTTCAAAATCTGATAGAAAAAATTTTCTTCATCAGAATTCGAAATCTAACAAAGAAAATGTAACTCTTAAGATTATTTCTGAAAATTGGAAATGCAGATGAAATGTTTAGAGGCGTAGGATGAAACAGTCATTCCGAAAACATAAATACGTTTGAGAAAAAACTCTCTTTAAGTGTTTTTTTTTTTTGCATTTCTCTTCTTCACATGGAATGTTCTCAAGCTTTTTTCTTCTTTCTCTGAACCGATATTAATGGTAGAAGCAGTCTTAGCTATAACAGTCAGAGTAGCTACTAACATATATACAAATAGACCTTATTGAGGATAAAACAAAATTGTCCTTAAAATATACTATACTTTTTCATAACATATGTTATACAAAAACTACTTAATATATAATGATTTGTGTTGAGACCACTCATTTAAAGAACATATTTTCTAGAATTTAATGAGCAAGTTCATTCAATTTAAACCAACCTTTTATAGCACTGTTTTTTTTTTCTTGTCCTATCTTTCAAAATTATTGGCAATTAATTTTAAATTTTTTAATCAACTTTAGAAAATTATTGGCAAGTGAAGTTTCAAAACTAATAGTGTGAATATTCATATATAAGATATCATTTTAAATGCCAAATTCTCAAACATTTCTGTATTAAGAATAATGAAAATTATATTAAATGACTATATCTTGTGGTAGGATAACAACTATTTAAGAAAGTAATTCGATAGTGAAACATGCTATTCTGACAAGTAATTTTAGAATAAATTGATATTTGAATACTTGTGAGAGTGTTTTTATTATTTAAATTGTATAATTTCAATATTAAAAAATACGAACTTAAATTTCTTTCCTACCTTCTCACATTTATGTTTCTTCTCTTACATTAAGTATATTTAAAACTATTTAATGTTCAATGAAAATCATTTTTAAGTAAAAATTAAATTTTTATAATAGTAGAAATTATATTGCTCTATCTAGACTAAGAATTTTATATGGAAAAAGTAGGAATTAATTTATTAAAGAAATTAAAATAAATAAAATTTAAATAACTGCAATTTAAACTTTTTATCTTTTCTTGAAATTTTATCGATAAAATATATCCTTAAAACGTTATCCGTAAAATTCATCTGCAATTACTAAGTTATATTATTGAAATAACGAATAGCACGTATTAACTTGCAGATGTAAATACAGTTATCAAAATATTTAATTAAATTTTAAGTTTTTTTAACTGTTTTTAATTTAATTATTAAAAAATTATTTCTATTATTATATTTTTTAATTGACTGTATTATATTTGATTTTATTATTAATTGTTATTTTTCACTTTCATTATTTACGTATCCCTCCATTGAAAAAAAAAACACTTTAATCTGTCCACCAACTTTTACATGTAGTATTTCAAAACAAAGATGTTATTAATAATGAAAACATAACGATAATGCAAAATAAGTACGTATTTGGTTTATAAACACGTATGATTTTCGGAATTTGAATACATAGAAATTGTAATTGTGGTATATATATTACAGGTAGCAGACATAATGAGACAGCATCAAACATGGAGACTGAAACCAGCTACCATGCTGACACACTCTGCAAAATTTTTATTGCTAACGCAAACCTACATTCATCTCCCTCTCTTCAACCTTCTTCACTCTTATATTCAGTAACGTAACCTACAATATCTTTCATAATCATTCATGATTACGTGCTTCCTATATGTTGGAACTTCCTTCGTGTGTGAGAAATCTGGGCAGGCCTATTTTGGAACCCAGCTTCTGAACATCATCCCGAACTTGTTTTCTATACTCACGAAAGCTGAATTTCCTGTAAATAGACGGCTCTCTGCAACTCTCTATCACGGTGTCGTTTGAAGGGCACAAGAAATACGCCATGGAGAACCTCTCTAGTTTCGGGTTCGTCATAACGCGATGCTCAACGCTCTTGTACACTCCGTTGCTCCATGCCTATACACACACCAGAGGCCAACGTTAACCAAAACCAGTAACGTTCAGTCGAGACCAAACAATATCAAAACTGTACGAGAATAATTAAATAAAAAAAAACATACCTGGAACAAGTCGCCGATGTTGATTATAAGAGCATCGGGGTTTGGTTTAACTGCGATCCATTTTCTGTCTTTGACCAACTGCAAACCCCCAACCTGATCCTGATGTAGTATGGTGAGAAAGTCACTATCGGTGTGTGGCATCAGACCGTGAATCCCAAAAGCTGTAGGGCACGGGGGATATCGATTCAGTCGAAGATAGCATGTGTTGGGCAAACAATTCTCCTTAAAGAAACTTGTCCTGTGACCCATTTTCTCCGCCAGTATGTCGGCTAATGTTTGTGCAAGCCTCGAAACTGTTGTAGCAAACTGTTCAATTGTCCAACTGCATCCAAATCAATTCATTAATCAGGCTTAATTCATTTATTACACTCTGAATCTTAAAAGTTATAACAATATATCTTATATAGTATTGTTTTAATTCCACTTTTTCTTTGTTTGTGGGGTCAAGAATTTAGGTGAATGCTGTCGTCAGTCTTTCATGACTGTAGAGTTTTCTGCTGCAGCTGATTGGCAACATTCACGTGAGACACTGCGGAATGTGTTGGTCAGGGAACCATAAAAGTAGCAGCCATGTGCACATATACCAAAATTGTGTGAACAAGTTCGCGGCAAGGAAGAAAGCAATGTCTGGGTCATGTGGATTTACATTGTAGATAATTATAAAAAATGCATGGAACAGATTAAGAACAGTAATAAAGCAAGTCAACACATTACAGAACTGGACAGCTTTAAGGGTGCCCTATGTGATGGCGGTGGCGGAAGAAGTTGACAAAACAGAAATTCGACCTTTGTAAAATCTAGGCTTTGCTTTGCTTTGCTCAGTGAAACGCTAATAGAAGATCTTCTGCTCTCTTTGAGAATGACACTTTAACACAGGTTTGAAAGAGGCCAAATGAAAATATCAGCTTTTGTTTATGAAAAATCTCAAAAGAGAACAAGCTATATAGGTCTTGATATGTGCAAACTTCATTCACACCAAATAAATTCTCACTGCTGTTCATACAACATGCAATTCAGGTTTTACAAGAAAAAATTAAATAATAAAATTTGGATCTGTCGTAAGTTAAGCATATTAAACAACATGTGTAGTCACAATCCTAAAAAATTTCATTGATTCACTTTATTTGAAAACAGATTGTTGTTCTCCCATAAAAGAATTCACATAACCCGATTAACTGCATACTGTACATTACTATGAATTAAACATGTATAGAATAGAACAGCTTCTGCAAAAAGTGAAATTTACATATTTGGATTGATATTAGGTATAAGGACGGTAAGATTAATGAATGAATGGGTTATAGAAGTGAGTATAGTGAGTGAAGAGACGTACCTGAGAGAGTTTGATCCAGATGATCCTAGTATATCGGTAAGAGGAATATGAAACGCTTCCGACCAAGATAACTGTCTAATGCATGTGGCAGTGGGGGCTCCCCAACGGTAACTTCCGGCGGAGAAGTTCAAGAACTTGTCTTCTTTGGTCTTCTTTTCAAAGGGTTGCCTGAAGACTTTCTCTTGCTCACATCTCAACCTGCTGAAAATATGACTGGAAATACCATGGTTCACCACCTGGAAGAAACCCCACTCTTTTGAAGCCCTAGCAATGTGGGACTTGCACTCTTCTCTCACAGTCTCGTCACTGTCCTCCAAGCGGCTGAGATCGATGACCGGAAGCTCGCATTCCTCGGCAGCCACCAGGAGATCGCTATCAAACCCATTATTCTCTTGAATGGTGTTTCGGGTCTTGTCATATAGGATCTTGTATGCTTCATGAAAGGGTGGGTCCGAAACGGAATCCATTCTGATAGAAAAGGTGAGAAGGGGATGTCAAAAGAAAAAGTAAACGAGTGGAGGGTTTCTCTGATGAACACCACAAACGGATAAAGACAGGTGATTTTTGGTTGCTTTCTACTTTTCTGTTTATTTCGCCTTCGATCAAAACGCTTTACACTTTGGAGACAAAGCAAAGCTTCATGTCTTTTTCTTCAGACAGATCCATTCATTTACTTTATTCTTATATCTTCTCTTTCACACTGCCAAATTCAAACTCAATACATATCAAAAATTCTAACCCACGGATATAATCGTATTTAGGATCATCGATTAATTTGTTCTAACCCTGACGGACCTCTTCAAGTCTATTCCAATTTACTTTATCTTCTCACTAACTTCTTTAAATTCATAAATGAAGCAACCATTATACCCATTGCAGGATTGTGTTTGTTTCCTCATTAATAAATGTAATACACTTTCATATAAATATATTTTTATATATATTAGTATAACCCTTGTAATAACTATTGGGTTTACATATTCTTTTAACATCTCCTATTTTATGCACAATTTTTCTTCTTCTTTTATTGCTTTTACACATCTTTTTCATGCATTCATACTCTTTCAATCATTAATGAATATGTTTCTCTGTCTCTCTTTCTTCAGACTAAAAAAATTCTTTATTTAAAAAAGAAATACCTAGGAATATATTCAATTCAAATGAGCATATGCTCAATTAAGTGGTGATGCCGGTACAGTACAAGATTCCTTGCATTTAAAAAGTAATTGCAAGGTTCTACCGTCATCATCCAAGGATCTTAATTACATTCTTTAGTTAGATTTTATTTTATTATTCAATATAAATGATTTATTTTTATAACTAAGATTTCATCCTAGAATCTACCCTCTCCTTTGGAAGGCCACGGAGACCCACTTTTAGCGCGTAGAATCCGTATATATATATATATATATATATATATATATAGTGGGGTTGGTTTTACAACCAAGGCTCTCACTTTCAAAAAATATCTGTAGGTTTTCAAAAGGAAAAAAAAAATCTCTTTTAATAATTTCTTTTTGACAAATTTTTTATGACAACGTACGTGATAACTATGATTGATCCGTTTTAAGTATAAAGATCAATAAAATAGTAACAGATACTCTGTTGTTAAAAAATTATTAAAATATAATGAAACTTGACAAAATTAAGTAGACATTATATTTTCCCGAAAAAATTGAAGAAATAAAAACCCTTTTAACAGCCATTTTTTCTGATTTGCATGGTCCAATTTCCAAAAGAGGCAACTACAACGAAACAGACTAATATTTAATGTGTGGTGGCTTGAAAATAGCAAAATTTGAGACAGGTGTATTTTGTATCTAAGCTAGGAATAAAAGATTTGCGTCTCCATGGAAGCGTTAAAAAGAAACTTGGACAAGGCACGGTAACATCAAACCTCTCTCTTTGTGTTTATAATCAATGGATTCGGATTTTTCCATAACATGTTAAATTATTGGCTAAGTGGAAATGTCTGTTTTTATCAAATATATATTATCGCTCACTCCGCTTGGGTTTGTTTATATATATATATATATATAAACCAGATAACCCATGGTAGCAGTAATGGACCACTCTTCATCCATGCCCAAAATATATAATTCCTTGTAAGAACAAGACAACGATAATGATGAAAAGTGTTAATCGGTCAAAAAGAACATAACTTTTTGCAGATGAAGTAAGAAAACTTTGTTCTTTTTTTCACACACCGTATCTACGAATACACACATCAGATACGATTACTAATTACGTCTTACTTCTAAGTTAGTCAATTGACAGATTCACGTGGTCCCGTCTAAGTAGATTTATCGGTCAGACTTAGGTAGTCAAGAATTGTTGCTCCATCCGTTGACTTTCGACTTTAAAAGTTTTATCAATTGTAGGTCAGGTTGAAGATTTTAATCAAAATAATATCAAACTAAATTAGATACCTGGTTTAGGATTTATAATTAGAAGCTATATATCAGCTGAGACCTAAATCTGTTTACTTTATCATGTTTTTGCTAACATTGCAAGTTCCATGAGATGTGCCGGACTGCTGCATTAATGTCAGAGGTTCTGCAGACAAGTTCTAAGGAGCATGTGATACCCAAGTACACCCTACGATGAATTGTGACGAAAAGCTGGTAGAAAATAAATGTTTTTACATGCATGACGACGTCTAGAGTTTCAGATATGTCATACAAATAATTAAATAAATTGACACTAACATGCTGAGCGAGAATTTGAACACGTGAATGACAGAAACATGTTATATAAATACTTTGTTCTGCAGTGTGACATAGTAATTAGAAAAGAAAGTTGAAGTAGAAAAAAGATGAAGAAGGAGGGGTTACTTACAGAAGAAGAATAGTACGTATGAGTAAATAAAGCTCCGTTTGAGTGTGTGAGGAAGAATGTGGTATGAGAATTGGTGGAGAAGGTGATAATTTATAGGCAACAAGTGTATCAATTATTGTGAAGATTAATGTGACGGAAACTTAGATGATTGAAAGCCTATGCTGAAGAGAAGACCACGCGGCTCGTGGCTCCATCAGAGAAAATATATCTATTGTCTGCCTCTCTTTTATTTTTTCTCCTTTTCCATTTATGTATAACTATAGAACATGCGAACTTACTTCATTTGAAGAGTACACAAAAGTAAAGAAACATTCAAGAATTGAAAGGATCCTATGGGTCACAAGTCGGTCGACCTGCATCTTCTCCTGCCCCACCAGTTTTCCGTTTCTTTATTAATTTGTAAAAAGAATAATAATATTATAACACAATTTTATATTTGTTTTCCGGAATTAGTAGGATCGAGAGACTAATCTTTTCTTACGTGTTTTCCTTGCTTTCGAACGTCTGGATCGAGTGCTCCGCTTGCTTGGATTCTAGATGTCATTCGGTTGCATTTTGGATGCCTTTCGGTTATACTTTGGATATCCTTCGGTTGTACTTTGGATGGGAGGAGGTATTTGCAAAAGGTACTCCGACATTCAAGTTAGGAGCAGTTTTATAAATTGTTTATCACAATTTAATATTTAAGTCCTGATTGGATGTAAATAGACCCTAATGAAGTCTCAGTTGGATGACCATGAGTGGACAGACTGAACGATTTTGAGTGTATAACATATAATATTCATTTAATAAATAACATAAAATAAAATATTATAGTTTTTTATATTTTTTAATAAAAAAGTAAAAGATAAGATAGAACAGTATTAAATGAATATAAAGAATTTAGACGTGTGAAAGAATGATTACTCTTATTTAATTACTATAAGCTAATTCACAGCACCATATTACCGGATAAGAATACTTATATTGGTAAGCTTGTACTTTCTTAGGTTTTAATTTCTTTAAAAAAAGAAAAATACAGGAAAAGGAAGTGTCGCTCACCGTCAACTTTTCTCTCTCAATGTTCACCATCTTGATCACACTTTCTCACCAATCAGAATCGGTTTTTCTTTCAGCAATTTATTATGCGGCATCACAATCCTGTTACTTTTTCACACGGCTGACACACGTCTGACACGCGGCTGACATGAAAGGAATCCTATTTTCGGAAACAACATTTGTGGTTTTGCAATTTCGTTTCAACTTCCATTTATAGCGTTGAATTAATGTGATTCAGTCGTTTGCATCTTGCAATAGTAATTTCAAGCGTATCGTGTAAGTATATAGACAACCTTTATATTTCTGGTCGGGCCACCCGAATGCCTCTCTCATATATCTATCAATTTTTGCATTTACTTATAACAAAAACAATCTCGAAAATCGAAGGAAATCCCGCGTTGCTTTTTTTATATTTTATCCACCAATATTGATTAATTGTTTTCTTGAATTCAATTTTCTTTTGTATATTCCATAAGCAAACATTTCGCTTCCAAATTCAATGACCGAAACAAGTATTCAGACGCAACTTTATTTATCTTGTCAATTATTCTATTCAGTTGATCTAACAATCCTATATCAAAATTAACTAGTTTTGTTAACATAAAAAAGGCTCGGCCTCATACTATAAACATTTTTTTGGAGAAAAAACCTTTGGGTATACATAAATTTGTTTATATTAAACCCACACAACAAAATTGTGTATATGGTGTGATAGATGATTAGATGTTGTCAATTTCTTTGAAAATGAAGCCGTTTATCTATTCCTTGATCATGAATTGTCTCTCTTTGATGTATGAAGAAGAAGAGTAGAGATGGTAAAGGAGAGACTTGGACGAATGAGAACCATACTCTATCCATATTTGGGTGTGCTTCTTTTTTTTCTGTATGAAATGGAGTTTGTGACATTTTTGATCGGTTATGAGTGAGTGTAAAAGTTAAAGAAAGACAATGAATTGACAAGCGGGACCTAACCCTATTCCCAAAATCCATGTCGGCACAGAAACATGGCTCCATATAGGGTCACATGCACGTCAACATTTCCATTTCAGCAGTACCAGAGTTTGAGGCAAGGACATGTGCATGTTCTTTCCTTCATGGCTCATCTCCTCCAAACCATCAAAATATCTTTTTATTAACTTTTCATCAAACAGTATAACTGCCTCTGTGTTTCATTTCTTTTGGAAAATCCACACACCTTTTGCTTCCTCATAAACATGGATAAACATGGCTGCAATTGCTCCCTTACGTTTCCTCGGGAAATTAAATAATATTTCCCCACAGGACCCACCCTCCATAAATATCCATATTTAACTTCCAAACATATAATTACCAGTAAAAACCAACATATTCATTCATAATATAAGTTTTGTATAAATAGTGTAATTTAGTTTTATTTTTAAGTTAATGGGAGATTTTTCATTTATATATATGTATATATATCAAAATGTTTTCAAAAAATAAACTCATCAAAATATATTTTCCCATATACATATTCAATATATCTTGAATATAAAACTAGCTTGCGTGGTTTAATTAACGAATGTAACAATTAATCCAATGAAAAACAATTTTTTTAAAAAATATCTCTTATGGTTACTCAAATACCGTATAAAAAAAAGAAACTATAAATTTAATTCGATGTAAATAATGTTTACAATTTTGTTAGAGAGTAAATTTTAAATCTAATAAAAATAAATAAATATAGCTAGAGGAAGTTTTAACCTAAGTAAATTTTAAATTCAACTCGATTCCACAAAATTTACTTATAAGATAAGATATGTATCCATTTATGTGTTCTAAATTAGTTTATGTTTAGTTAAGGTGAAATTTCCAATC